AAAGAGAGAGAGATCGAGAGAAAAAAGTAATCGCGAGGCGATATTGGTTTCAAGGTGTCCCGGGAGCAGTGGACCGAATTACTGTTGAATACGTAATCGGTTGGAAACCGAGTCCCGCATGCCTCTGCGAAATGTCTTCGTTCCTTTGCTTTAACTCCGTTTGCAAAACACGACGGGATTCTATCGTTTTATCCGCGCTGATCTATTTCTCCATTTTCGGTGAACAATCGCGAACGAACACTCCGAAGCGGGCGTCGCGACTGTTAAGAAGACGTTTCCGGTCGGTAGTATATCCATTTTAACCCCTTTAGTTCCAAAGGCGTCCATTATAATTCCATTATAATTCCAAAGTGATTTCAAAACAATTTCAAAATAATTCCGTCATAATTCGAATATAATTCGGATACAATTCGAATGTAATTCGAAGGTTATTCGGATACAATTCGAATGTAATTAGAGTACAATTCGAATATAATTCGAATACAATTCCAATATACTTCGGATACAATTCGAATGTAATTCGGATACAATTCGAATACGATTTGAATTCAATTCGAATGTAATTCGGATACAATTCGAATGCAATTCGAATATATGTCAAATACAATTCGAATGCAATTCGAATATATGTCAAATATAATTCGAATGCAATTCGAATATAATTCATATATATTTCGAATATAATTCCAATATATTTCGAATATGATTCGAACATAATTCGAACGTGATTCGCATCATTCTAAAAACAAATATGAACGTCATAGGTAGCCGACGCCTGTTCCAAAGCGTAAAAATTTGACGCGTACGCACGCAAGATGCAGCCGCTATCGATTGTTGCGGAACACGCTATTGTTGCCGAGGTGTGGATCGACGTGGGTTCGATCGGTATCGGGTAGAAGCATAAGTAGGTTGGCCGATCGGTTTTCGTAATCGTTCTCGCGGTCGCAGTAGTACGAAACGCTGACCTAGTGACGATTCGTCGACGAATTCGTCGGGTTGCGCCACACACCGAGAGACATTCCTTTCACTGTTCGTGAGTCAGAGGTCGATATTCTTCTCGATCGTTGACCAATTTCCGTGAGAAAGTTTCGCTCTATTCGATCTTAATCACGAGCCGCGTACGTCCGAATTTTTCCGACGGCCACTCGCTGAAATATTATTGTTCGTGGAACGAATCGTGATACATTAATTTTTGCATAGAAATGAAATGCAACGCGCGCGTTGCACACTTTCATTGCGAAATATTTCGTAGTCGCGCGCGCGTAGAAACCTTTACAATTTGCAAAGAAGAGAAAATGCATCGACGAGCGATAATATTTACGGTTCGCAGTTCAGAGTTAAGCAGAACAAAAATATGTGGAAGATATCGATGCAAAAGTACTGGACACAGCGAGAGAAATCAAGTCGCAAATCGATCATTAGTTTTATCATCGCCGAACCTGCGAAGTTTCGAATATAAATAATCGACGATTCGGCGAAGCCGGTCGACTGCACGCGGACGCTGCCATTTTCTGTTCGCAGGAATCAGAGCCAAGCATAACGACAGTGCCTTCGTTTTATTTCGTTACTTTTCCTTGGGATTTCGACTCGACAGCGCTACCCCAGCAAGATCCAGCCTAGGGATCAGTGCCAAACGCCATAAAATGTCCGACTTGGTCTCCGCGGACCCTGGGAATCTGTGGACGCTGCCGTGCATAAGTATCAGATCCATAAATCACTAGAGGATCGCCGGATCTCTTAGAAAAGGGTTCCAAGCGACGCTTTGGACTAGAGTAATGCAGCCGGTTACTGTAAGGTGACCAATTACTGTGCCTTTGCTTTGTTTCCGACCGCAATTCAACTTATATTAATCGAGCAAGACATATTCAATTTTTGTATAATTTTATTTCGTTTATTTCTGAATAGAAAAATTTCATGTCCTGTTTGATTAATCTAAAATTAATGATCGTTAAAGAACGATTCTATTAATTTCATATTTATGGCGCGAGACGTATTAAATTGTTTTTATTAAAAAATAAAGAGAAAAGAATAAAAAAGTTGCAACGCCTGCGTACAAATTGCCACAGTTTGTTAATAAAAAAAATAGACTCTCCTGATATTTAGCGATACATTTTTTTCGATGACCAGTTTAGTAAACGAACTATAATAATACAAGATCTAATGAAAAATTATAACAATATTCAATGTTATTAGTAATATTATTATTGATAGTCAATAGTCAGTATTATATAATAGTCGAACGACTATCGAATAATCACTCAAATGATCACACAATCGATGATAATTTTTTTTACAAAATTTTCTTTTTATTCGTTGAAGATTCTATTCACTGAAGAGATAATTCAAAAAGAAACGAAACGAAAGAGTACAAAAATTTCACACGTTTCATTAGACAAAGACAAAATGAATGAATGAATGAATTAGTAACTGGCTGCACTAATCTGACAGGACCAAAAAACGGATCATGCTCGATAAATCAAAAAATTGATAAATCTCTCGATACCTATGGACGGCAGTCGACGAGCTGTAAGTGTGAATTATCGAGACCGAATTGCTGCGGCCGGGTCCCAAGTCGGACGCGGGTGCAACTGGAACTTATTTATTTAATCGCATGTGCCAGATCGCATGAAAGCTCCCCCCCTCGGAGTGATTTCAGCTCGACAATAATTCTTTGTTTTTAACCCTTTAGCCCGGTCGGGATAACGTCCTCCGCGATATACGATCGGAGAAATCATTGTGTGAACCAACCCTTCGTCGATTTACACGGTGTGCCGGAAAATTTTCGAAACGCATTGCCGAACGAGAAATCGATGCGGAGCCTCGTTCGTTCTGCCATCTTTAGTTAAATTGTCCTATTTAACATTTCTAAACATCCAGACAATAAAGCTTTAGATAAACGATTTAGAAAATAACTTAGAAAATGACTACACAAAAATACACCAATAAAATCACTTTTAAATAAGTGAAATGGAACAAATGAAATTACGTTTGGAACTCTGCGAAGAACAAAGAACATTCCGGCATCGCTTAACGCGTTCACTGGCGAGCCTATTCCGAAGAAATCTGTCCTAGACGCCAACATTTCTTTGCTTTAAATAAATAAATAATAATTAGTAAAAAGTAACAAATAAATCGTGGGTTTTTGTTAGCAATGAACCGCGTCGTTGTGGGCGTCTACCACGAGATATCTCGTAGTTCGCAGTGAATGGGTTAAAAGAGAAAAGACAAACGATGTTCGAAATATTTGTAAATGTCACAGAAAGTGGA